CATCTTAGCCCTTGAATCGGCTACAATTGTTGGAGCATATTTGGATAATTAAGTGAACTTTAGAGCATATTCCCTCACACTCATACTCTCATGCCGGAGGTTAATGAACTCAAGCACATTGGCCTCCCTCGTCTCAAGGGGAAAGAACCTATCAAGAAAAATGGCCTTAAACTTCTCCCAATCAAGAGGACCCGCATCTTCCGGCCTCCCTTCTTTCCATTGATTATACCAAATTTGAGCCACACCTTTTAGTTGATAAGTGACCAACTCCTCCTTTTCCACCGGCCTAACTCCCATGATCATCAAAATCTTATAGACCTCGTCAATATATTCTTAAGGATCTTCCTCAACTTTAGAACCATGAAACTCCGAAGGATTCATTCTTGTGAAACCCCTCACTCTTGAAGCCACCGCATTCGTATTTGAGCTTGCAGGAACCATAACCTCCCTATTGGCTTGGGCCGTAACAGCTTGGGCCAACACTTGAAAAGTAGCCCTAAACTCCGCATTAGATACTTGTTCAGCCAAAGGATCGACTAGTACTTGAGGAGCTTGGGGAGGAGCTTTTTATTCCGCATTCTCCCTCACATTCCTTCTAGCATAAGCTCTTCGGATAGCCATATTCTGGAGAACATAGGATAAGGATTAGGAGAGAGACCTTATAGAGTTAAACTTTATCGTACGACTTAAGAGTAATGAAATAAGTGAAGTTTCCTAATAATCTTGTAGCCTCTCATTCATTAATGTGGCACGCTTCACACTCATGAACAAGACTCTGCTAGACGTGGCTTATGAGACATCCTAGGACCAATTCTAAAACCTTGTGCTCTGATTACCAAGTTTGTCACGACCCAGGGGTACCCCCTAGATGTAACATGGCATATAGAACCCCAAAGGACTCCATACAAGCCACTTAGCTCTCATAACATAAGAAATAGAACAATAAAAGTAAAACAATAGTCCAAGTCCAAAACATTTTTTTGTAAAACAAAAAGCGGAAGTCGAAACTTTGTCTCATCATAGCCATCTAATACAATAGAATGAAATTGGGCCTAGCCCATACATCATGTTCAAAAGATAAAATACATGAAATAAAGTGAAAATAATAAACTCCGTTCTCGAAGCATGAGGACTCACCAAAGCTCAGGAATCAATCAAATTACCCACTAGCCATGAAACTGAGCACCCTAAATACCGGACCCTACATTTGGGGAAATTGTAGGCAAGAGTATGCATTAGTACAAAATAATGTACCAAGTATGATAGACATGCATAAAACATTTAAAACATGCTAAAAGAGACATTTCATTTCATGACATGCAATTGACCAACATAAAGCATAATATGAAAGATTTATAAAACATAAGTTATAAATCATGGCCAATGCAAGATAAATTCTTCTTTAAAACCTTTGAACACGTGTGAGATACTCCTTGAGTAACCCTAGTTCATTATTACTTGTGGGGAATTAGCCTTAACCGACATTGAGACCATGTGAGCTATAACATGATCCCCCAGTGTCTCCCACACCGAAAAGGGTTGTCCTACTTGCCAAGGTAAGGACCATAAACTTCTAACTTAAGTGGATCCACTAGCTAATCAGCCTATGGGGGTACATAGTTAAGGGATACAGAGATTTCTACTAGAAACCCGACCTCTACTACGGGTGAGCTTCCATCTCAAGAAATTGGTTCTAGAAACTCGACCTCTACTACGGGTGAGCTTCAATCTCACTATCAATATCCACTCGGTGCTACGCATAAATCCCAGGGAATAGTTATTAAGTCTTGACTTATCTCATAACTCATGGAGAGGTGCCCTTGGACAACCAAACCAAGCTAGTTCATTAGGATAGCTCTTACTCTTTGATTCAATTAGGTGAGAAAGCCTTTAAACCTAAGAATCCTTTCAATATGAGAAAGCATGTCACATCATGCTAGTATGTGTACATGAGAAAACCTTTCAGTAACACATCATGCTCATCATTATTGGTACTTTACTCTCAAAGCACCCTTAAAACGTTTGCATAGATTTCATAAAAAATGCATAAGTCCATAATTCACCTCCTTGAGGTTCAAAACCCACTTTCAATCATCAATTCCTAGAAAACATGGGTTAGCTATGGATTTCATCATAAATTCATGTAAAACTAGTAATACATGCTTGATTTCATAAAACTCTTTCTTGAAGATCAAAATTTCACATCGTATAATTCATAACTTGAAAACTTGAGGATTACATGGGTTCATAGGGGAAAACTTCATAAACCACAGTAATTCATCAATTCATGCATAGAAGATCATAATTCAATCATTTAAATCAATAATGATAAGAACCCATGATAATTGAAGAAAACCCTAACTCAATTGGGGAATTCTACCTTTTGAAATAGATGAATTTGGGAACTCCATGGATGAAAGGAATCCATGGATGAAAACTATCATACCTTGACTCCAAATGCTAGCCTTCAATGGAGAAATTGGAACCTTAGGTTGAAACCTTAGGTTGAATCTTCTTCTCCTCTTTCAAGTTTCTAGAGAGAGAATTATTTGGGAGGAGATTTGGTGTTCTTTTGTGAATTTAGAAAAATGAAATAAATGGGGTGAATTTGGGGGTTAAAAGACTTATATAGGGGGTCATAAACATAGGCAAAACAACATAGTATAGGAACTAATTAATTAGGAAAACACCCAACTGCCCCTGAAAAATAACTGCCAGCAGTGAACCACGAGACCGCATTGATGGATCGTGGTCAGGACGACGGACCGTCCTGCACGGCCGTCGATGGTGGTTAAAAGCCTGACTTTGGGGCTTCAAACCACGGACTGTGTTCTGACCAATGGTTTATTGGTCAGGTCGTGGTTCTAGACCTTCAGATCTTACCTAGGCAGGCCAACCATGGACCACACCTACGGTCTGTGGTCCATTCCATGGGTCGTGGGTGGCCGGTGTGGTTTGGTACCTGCAACATCTGGAAAGCTGCGATTTGGCCTTTTTAAATACGGGGTATTACAAAAAGCCTAAGAAACACCCCGAGCATCTTCTGCTACTCTATCGGAACAGCTCCAGTCGAAATCACGGGCTAGGCACCCCAAGAGATACCTGGGCTTAAGATGCCTCTGTTGACCTGGTGTTGCACCTGCAACTAAGATCTGTTGGATTCCTCCAAGCACTATCAAAAGCTGAGTGGTAGCTTGAAGGTCTGGAGCGCCATAGTTGGTCTGGGTAGCGGCTGAGCTGGCCTTGACCCCACCGGCTTATATGGGACCTGAGCTTCTAGACGGTCCGTTGTTGGCTCCAGATCCCACTCTCTATATTGGGTGGTTCTGCACCCCTATCCAGTAGAGGAGATCTCTCCCATACATTGAGCTACCACACAGCGCATACGAGCCATCCTATGAAAAGAGTCAAACAAGTGAGATTTCAAGAAACCAATAACACAGACGTTGTACGAAAGTGATCCAAAATAGAAGAATTCCTAATGAAACCCTGTAGCCTCCCAAAGATAGGATACATGCGTCTCCGCACTGATCCGTAGGACTCTACTAGGTATTAGCTCTATACAAGTGAAACTGTTGAACCTAGGGTTGTGATACCAGCTTGTCATAACCCAATTTATTGAGTCATGATAGAACCAACTATAACCCACCAGTAGGTAAGGCAAACTTTACCCTGAACGACAAATAGTATATATGAGGGTAGAACTAGACAGAAATAGCACTAATAATAAAGAAATAAGACAGAAATTGAAGTAAACAAAAATATATATACAATAGAATCTCTCCCAAAACCTAGAAGTCATGAGTACAAAGTTCTTTAATATGAAAATACAAGTCCCAAAAGTGGACCACAACAATCCGTCTGAAAATAAAAAGACTAGCTAAACATATCAACAGAATGAGATAGGCAGATCCAGATCCAATAAGTATACTTTGGGCCTCAAACCTAAATTGATGGCCTCTAACTAAAGGTAACAACCTCAAATCGGAAAGCATTGACCATGAACCGTAATAAAGGCCTCGAACCAGAAATAGCCACAGTATCTAAATAGCTCCACTACAACATTTTAGGCCTACGGCCACACTAAATCTGGACAACGCTTGTAAAGTGTTGCCTAAAATATTTTTGGGAACTACTTTTAAAGCGTAGCCCAAGTTTTTAACTTTTTGGCTACGCTAATATTGGCAACACTTGTAAAGCGTACTCTTTAATGGTATAGGCTACACTTTATAAGCGTTGTTACAGTATGAGATAATTGGCAACAACTATTTACATATATGGCCACACTTTTAAAGTGTCCTATTTTTATTATTGTAAAACAACACATTATAAGTGTGGCCTTAAAATTTTCACTAAAATATTATATTCCCTCCAACATTTTTAACTCTCCCTCCCATTTTTATTGGCCAAATTTTTTTTTAATAAAACATTAAAAATTCATAACACTTTGATATCTGAAGTCGAAGAACACATTTTTTTCTTTCTCCAAAAACGTTCTTCTCTGGAAGAGCTAAAGTCGAAGAACGGAAGAGTGGAAGCTGAAGAGCGGAACTAAAGATTTCTCCGATTCTCTTCTCCCTGAACTGAAGAGCTGAACTGAAGAATTGAACGGAAGATCTGAGCTTTGCTGAGCTGAGCTGAGCTGAAGATTTCATCAAGCGTAAGTACCTATTCCTTCTTATTCTCATTATTTTTGTCAATATGTTAGAGGATGATGGTAGAATCACAGTGTATTTGTGTACAGATTCCAGCTTGAGCTAAAAAAAATTGCCCTTTTAAGTTTGGTATAGTTTTGCCGTAAGATTTTGCCACTGCCACAAATTTCACAGTGTATTTGTGTACACATTCTTGTGTTCAATGCTCTTAGCTGTTCAAGAAAAGAAGGGGGTGGGGGGTTCTTTTTAACTATAGATACTAATAACATCAACCGGTGTTACCACTTTTAAATCTTTTTAGCTAGAGGGTATGGGTGGGTTGGGTTGGATTTGGGAGATTTACTCTGCAGATTAGTGAATGAGGTCCTTTGCAGGTCAGTTTGAGTGCTTTTTCTTTCTTGTTTCCGGAGCTTGTTCAGTACAATCAGACTCAAGTGGACAACATTACTAAATTAGAGCGAAGGTGATTTTCAACAACTCTGTTATTTTGTTTATTTGCCCTTGTATTGTTGAATTATAAGGATTCTTTATGAAATGAGCTTAAATGAAAATTGGGTATTGATATAGTCGAACCCCGACTTGTTTGACACTAAGTTGTAGTTGTTGTTGCTCTTGTATTGCTGAAATTAGAGGGGAAGTGACTTGTATGCTGTGGGCTTCGAGAAATTCTAGTATTGGAATGGACCCGAATATGGAGAAATGGTTGTGAAAGATTCAGACACTAACTATTTTGGAGGGGAAGCTTAGTTGATTGATGATCATTTTACGTTATTGTTGCTCTAAACATGGAGTTGTGCTATAGTGCTTAAGAGTATTTTTGATGGTATCATGTCATTATAGGGTAAAAAATGAATCTCCATATTAGTAGTGTCAAATGAATGGGATGATCACTTTTGAGGTAAGGATTAGCTTATTTTAACTTGTTTGTATGCCATGGTTGCTACTGTTACATCCATTTTATTGAAGTCTTTCCTCATCAATAGGGATAAAATTGCTATATTTGCTGACACCTTGTTCTTGTGGATGGAACTGTTGGTTCTGATCATTAGTTACCTTTATTTTTTTTTAAAATTGTTGGTTCTGATCAATTAGTGCTAAAGAAAAGGCATTAAAGGAAGGAGGTGGAATATTAGTTTAATTGTTTAAAATACTAAAGGATAAGCAGAATCTTCCACAAACTTGAGCTTAAATTTTTCTGCCCTTTTAGGTTTGAAATAGTTTTTGCAGTAAGTTCTTGCCTCGCCACAATTTCACTCTGTATATGTGAATGCATTGTTCTGGATGTTGATGCTTATCCGGAAATTATGTTAAAGGATGATGGCAAAGTACCAAAGGATAAGCAAAATCTTTCACAACTTCAGCTTAGATTGTTTTGCCCTTTTAAGTTTGATATAGTTTTTGCCGTAGGATTTTGTCATTGCCACAAATTTCACAATGTATTTGTGTACACATTCTTGTAGATGTTAATGATTTTCTAGAAAATATGTTAGAGGATGCTGGCTATGCTGTAAATGATGTTGCTTTGCTATCTTCAGACCGAAGCATTTGTATAAGAATAGGGAGTGCACATTATTCCACAATCTTAAATGCTAATTCTCGTAAGGATCCTGCAGCTGCTCTATGTACCTTTGAATCAACAAACTCAAGAAGTGGAGGGATACCATGGCCTTCAGTCCTATAGTCACAAAATAAAATCAAAGCAAGAAAAATAGGTATTATTTCTATAGATGCTTCAATAACAATGTTTTCAGATAAGAATAATCAAACCTAACATGAGTTTTTATGCTACTGTTCTAATGAGCAAGATTGTAACTGTATCAGTTGCCCGTTGAATAGCACCATTGACTCCTCAAGAGTTCTAAGCATTTATGTGCCTCTTCAGCAGATTAAGAATATGATGCAAACAACATTAATAACAAGACGAGACAAAGCTACAACAGATAAAGAAGATAAGATAAAATCTTTTGCAACACAGTAATATAGAGCTTTTCAAATTGAAGTTTCCTCCACCTCACTTTTTGTTGTATCTAGGAGCCTCTAGTATGTCTTATAACACATTCCATAGGAACTCTTACCACTGTTTCTTGTCATTACTGGATATGAATATGTAGTTAACATCTTGATCAAGTTTTTAAGTTGAAGCCTAAGGTGATTACTTGATTTACCAAGCATTGTCTTTGACTGTTGATACAATAAATAATAGGATCAAATTTAATTTCATATGCATCATTACATGATTTTAAATAATCTATGCTCTGTTTATCTCTTTCATTGTGCGAGACATTAGTTATTGTGCCTTAGGAATATGATGATAGAAATTAGTAAAGAATGTGAACTTATCATCTGAAATCTTTATAGGTTTCACATGGACAATGAACTGGTCCTAGCTTACTGTCACAGAACAGGTACTTATTGGATTTTTTAAAATTATTTTGAACTTTAAAAGGGTATAAATATAGCACCAGACATCATAATATTCTATTCCTGCACAAACTATGTTATATCTATCTGCATATCCAAATTCCTAACTGGCCATATAATGAACCAACTCGACCAAGACTAGAAAAGAAAGAGATGAGTTTAACTAAAATCTATATGCTTCAACTATGGTGTTACTTGAGACCTTAACTAAAATGACATTGATAGTAGCAACAATACCTATGCTGGTTCTTTGAATGTTCAAGGGTCTGTTAATGATGAAAATGTCCTAGCTTTCATAAGAGTCAATAATCCTAATTCTGTTTCTAAGATTCTCAGAGAAGTTCCTGGAAATGACAAGTGCTTTGATTGTGGTGCTTCAGAACCTGATTGGGCTTCTCTAAATCTTGGCATCCTAATTTGTATAGAATGCTCGGGCATTCATCAAAACCTTGGTGTTCATATCTCAAAGGTATATCTTTATCCATGTTGAAATTTTTTTGTTCCTCTTGTCTACAAACATCTGCCTTGTTCTTAAAAAAAGATTAATTCCATTTAGTTCACGGTGTTTATTCAATTTTGTACTGGTCCACATGCATTTATATTTGAGAATATGAGTATTTTCATTACTTTCATGACAATGCACTATTCATTCTGGAATGTTAGTAGCTATTGGATCTTTTTTGGAAATGTATTTTGAAGTATAATTTGTTTTCAGTTGCTGCCCACAGAAAGTAACAAAATGAAAGATCTATGGGCCTATTGAGTTGATTGATATTTGAGATACTTATCATTTGCAGGTAAGGTCCATAACATTAGATGTCAGGATTTGGGAACCTACCATCTTGGATCTATTCCGCACATTGGGTAATTCTTATTATAACTCGATGTGGGAGAAGCTGCTTCAACTTCCAAGTGACGGGTATGTAACCTTAGTTGATAATATATACAAAAAAGTCATTCTTCCATGGGTATAAATTTCTATAGATCTTGTATGTTTATTGATATTTGGGTTCAGATTTAATGTGGAAGGTCCTCTCCGAGCCAAGAAAAGACAAAATGTTGAGAGATATCAAAGATCACAAAATTCCAACTTAACAGTTCCCAGGATTATGTTCACATTTCTATTCATTCTTCAATTGAAGTAGTTAATTTACAATCTATTTTTCCATTACAATTTGACATTCTACCTGGGTCAGCCTATCTATTCAGTACACATTGTCGGATAGATAATGTTCCCACGTGCCATGATGATATAACATGAATTTAACTCAAATATTTTTAGAATGTTTTGTTGGTGTTAGCTCATGTAAAATGATTAATTCATTCAAATTAACAAATGTTGATGCTATTCAATTTGCTTCCAAGCCAAGCCTCAAATATGCCTTTCATGAAAAGGAGAAGTATATTTTGGCAAAGGTATACTTTCTTGCATATTTTAAGGGCTTTCCTTCTCCATGTTATACATTTTATCCCTTGTGCTAAGCTTGATCATCCATCAACTCGGTCTTCTTGTTTTTCCATGGAATTCTACAAAGAGAATCTCATGATCATTTGTCTGTTGTTTCATTAGTAGTGGAGGTCCAATGTAGAAACAATGTGTCTTCCCACTTATTGTGAAAGAACTATTTAAACAATGTGTCTTTTGTGGTTTATAGCAGCAGAAATAGTTGACAGGTTGTGACAGTAGAAACTTTGGTTTCTTTTCTCTCTAATCTAATCCCAAGCAGACGAGCAAGTGAATTCTCCATTTGCATTGGGCTTCCAGATTGGTTGATCAGAAACCATCGGCTGGTAGTAAATTTGAGTCGAAAAAATGGTCGCGACAAGATTCAGAGGTGCAGTTTTAATGATCTTTTCGATATTCCAGGTTCCATTGATCAAAAAGCATACACTTTGATGTTGTTTGGTGTTAAGTTTCCTCTTTTTTCATGCTTTGTTTTGTGTGACTGCTATCCTGATTTACATGTCTGCATTAGAGTATCTTGGGATTTTTCTCTTGCTGCCCCTGTTCTTTGGCCTGAAGAGAACTACGAAATTCTGAAAGTTTTTTGGCCGATAAATTTTGATTTGTAAACTGTAATTTGAAACCTGCAATCTGGAACTGTAATATGCAATTTGCAATCTAGAATCTGGAACCTGGAACTGTAATCTGCAGCAATCTGCAATCTGGAATCTGGAACCTGCAACAATCTGCAATCTGCAATCTGCAATCTGGAGTTTGGAACTGTAATATGCAATCTGGAATTCAAAAAATATGCAGTCTGCAATCTGTAATTTGGAACAGCTGCAATCTGGAACTTCTTGCCTCTTCTATAACTTCTACAATCTGATTTGTTGTACATTTTAAATGTGTAGGGAAATGGAGGTGATCAAATTTGAAGGGTCGCCACAAGTCAATTTGATCTCATTGAAGTGGATGATGAAGAGTTTTTGAACTATTGTAAAACTTTGAATACATTATGTTTGCTTTTGTGAAATATATTCATTGCTAGAATATATTGAACTATTGTAAGAATACTTTTTTAACTATTATGTACACATATTTAGAATATTGCTTTATAAGTTTGTGTATGTACAGAAGACATGATATTATCTTTTGAAATTTATTGCAAATCTATATATTTGAATTACTTATTAGCCAATTTAATGCTTGAGATTATTTATTGCAAAATAATATTGGTGTTTTTTAATTAGAAATTGTGGCATATAAATATTTTATAGCCAAAATGATATGGCCACACTTAAAAGTGTAGCCATAGGACTGTAAATTGTGCTATGCACATGGGCAAGGACTACACTTCAAAAGTGTTGTCATACATTGGATAGAAAAAGGCAACACTTTAAAAATTGTTGTCATACATTAGATAGAAAAGGCAACACTTACAAATTGTGGGCAATAAGGAAGCTTAGGCCACGCTTAAAAGTGTAGTTGTATGAGATAGAAATGTTGCTATTTGAGGTACATAAAAGCGTTGCCATTTTTCCTTTTAGGCTACGCTTTTAAGCGTAGCTGATAAGGCAACACTTGCCTAAACTCTAAGGTAACGCCACTTTTGGGCACCCCTGGAAAAGTGTTGCTTAAAGTCCAAAAGTGTAGCCTTTTATCAAAGGCCACACTTTTTGCTAGTTTAGGCTACACTTTACTGGGGTGGCCGTAGGCCTAAAATGGTGTAGTGCTCCCAACCCAGCTAGCAAGAGTGACAAGCGGTGTGTCGACTCCGAAGAGGAACTTAATATCAAGAATAAGTTATCATGGAACAACGTCTACCTACAAGGATCAACAGGAGGTTCCAAACCTAAAACAACCCAATCCTAAGTCGCCGCGAAAACCCCAAACCTCCGGTATCACATCAGAACCGTAGATATTGTGAGAGACGATAGAAAGTCTATAAAGATACGAATCACCTAAACTAATAATCAAACTACCAAACTCTAGTATGCTATTTCAGTTTACAAGGATCTAGTCCGTCCGAAATGATGTCGGAGACGAAAGCAAGGCTACAAGGCTCGCCAGTCTAAGGTAACACTAGTCTATCCTAGACTAAGGCCGAACATGTTCCAAATAATAAGTAACAGTGCAGGTAATTCACAAAAGCATGCAAAAACACACATAAAACCCCAACTAACATGGTGCTACACCCGAAATAATAGTGATCAATCCTAAAACATGGCATCTATGAAGAAAAGTAAGAAAAACTAGGTACCCACCCCCCAATTCACTCTAATCAACATGAATTTCCGCAATCCAACTCAATTTATAAGGAAAGAAAGTCGTAGCCTACATGTAGGCCAACCACGTATGCTCTTAATCATAAGGCTAGAGCTTTTCCTTTTTGAACGACCTCCGGATGATACCACACTATAAAAAAATAGGATCAGAATGTCAGTATGATTGTTAAGACACTAAAAACACTTCAAATAAACACAACCCAATTTTGGAGTCGAATGGAAATCATAGGACCCACGCTGAAATTTTCAGAATTGACTTTGTCAATAGGTCCTAAACCATGCCCTTGAACTTATATTCCAAAATTGAACACAATTCGGGGCTTGAATCAGCAAACAACAAGAACATGCACAATTTCCAACAATTAAGCTAAAAATAAAGCTCAAGATAGTAGCTTTGTACATAAATTTACCTCGAACGGAGGTTCACCAACACTTTCCAAACACAACACAACAAAGCATTGACAATTTTGAACACGTGGGGCTTTGAATCACCCAAATCTGAGCTAAAATGGGGGAGAGATCATGAATTTACTCTTTGAACTAATGATACCTCATGTCGACGAATCTTCTTCGTGAATGTGGTGGGTCCCCCGCGAATGCGGCGAAGGCCCCACAAACACGGCCAAGAAGACACTAGAGTCATGCGATCGCGATAGGGACCTTGCGAATGCGAACCTCAGATCATCTAACCTCCACAAACACGACCAAGGGCCTGCGAACGTGAAGGCCATTTTAGGCTTGCACCAGCTGATGCATATCAACTGGTTTTGGCAATTCCAAATCTCTAACGCGGCTTTCTGAATTCGTTCAAAACCCCGTGCTTGCAAACAAGACATGCACCCCTATCAAATTTGATATTCCAAACTCAACGAAGCAGTCGAAATTTCCATACGAGGTCATATCGACATAAAGTGAGTCCCACCCCAAACTCCATTTAAGCCAAAATCCACAAGGGAGCTCAGAATTAGCCTTAAAGCCCTGGGATCCAAACAAAGGGTCTTTCTAGACCAAACTCAACATTCATAGCTAATCGCACTGACATAATTCTGATCCGAGCTCGTGTACTCAAATGTTGACTAAAGTCAAACTTAGGCCTTAACTTGGAAGTTAAAACGCCTAATCACGAACTGAAAGTTTCAAGGGTCATACCGACCATGCTACTAGCCTAAACAGACCCTTTCGGAGCTGATGGAATCGTCAAAATTTGATTCTGAGGTCATCTTCTTGAAATTCTAATCAAAACTGACCGTTTGAGGTTTAAAAAGCTCCAAAACACTAAAACTCACATAAAAACCAAACGAACGACCAGCTGACCGAACTGTCAGTCCTAGTAAGTCATAAATAACTTGAGGCCGCTATAGAAATGCTCTAAATGACGAACATTAAGCATACACACCAAAATGACCTTGAGGACATAACATAAAGTTTGTTTAAAATGATTCTTAAATTTGTTGTATGCATTTTGATAAAGTATAAAGATTGTCTCAAATAATTAATTTCTTCCAATACTTTATATTCTTGTTAATTGGGCTATGTATCTCTCAATCTATTCTTTTTATATAAGTAAATATATTTAAATTGTAGTAAAAATTAGTCAAGATAAAATATTTCATAAGCTAAAATTAGTGAAAGGGGAAGAGAGTTGATTCATTACTAAAGAAAAGGATAAGATCATTAAAAAAATAGTAAGAGACAACAATATTTGGAGAAAAAGAGTAATTATATAAAACCAAAATTGATCCTACTTGAACCACAATAAATATTTTTAAATTATTTTTATTGGATGAAGGAGAAGGATAATAGCATTTTGATGTTTTGAGCACTCTAAATTTACAAGTCTATTTGATTTTAAAAAAATTATTTGCGAGGAAGATACAAACAAAACAAAACACATACGAACAATAAAAGGTAGATTTGAAAAATCGTATAAAATTACAAAAACAAGACTGATCACTAATTAAAATTTTCATCAATATAAATCTCTAGAGAAATATTATAATATATTCGTTGATGCACTATAATTTATTGACATGTAGTTTTCATAAGCTAAAATAAATAATAGATCTGAAAAAGGTCGATGACCATTATGATTATTTAATATTAACTCTATATCATGAAAAATATAAGGAAATTAGTAGAAGCAGAAAAGTGAACTAACTTGATTATTTTAAAGGGAAGATATTGAAGAAATTAAATAAACAAAAATAGATAGTTGAAAAGGAATGTGAAATTTTTTGTGAGAAACCGAATTGGTCTACTAGTTTTATGCTAATTTGCATGTTAGTTCTACATCTTATGCATTTACATTAAAAAATAACATAATTTTAATGGAAACGAACTTTAAGCTAATCCTTATACAAATGACTAAACCGTTATTTTATTTATCTACTATAAAATGTATATATTCCTTCATTTCCCCCCATTTTCTATTAAATGTATTATTTGTATTCTTATTACCATACCATAACTCTAGAAAAGAACGCATTCAAATGAATGCTAAATTCATAAATTTTCAATTATTACAACTCTAACATAAAAAAAAAAAGTATTAGATGGTGCAAATTTAATTATTATTTTCCCCTTTGTTTTGGTTGGTAAAATCAATATCCCATGAATCTAAGTCAAAATTACAAATCTAAGTATTAAGATTTGTAATATAATTTATTTGGATTTGAAGTTCAAAAAAATCATTAAAAATATTATTAATATTTTAGTTTTATAAATAAAAATAATATTTTTAAAATAAATTTACTATTTTTTCACTAGTTTATAATAAACTAATAACTTCTGAACATAAAATTAAGCTAAAAGATGTGCTGAAAAGACTAAATTCCTAAAGTCTATAAAATTCGATTTATTCAAAATTCAAATATAATACACATACTAATTAAAAGAACTAATCAATTTTAATAAAACTATTGCAGTAAAACTTTACCATGGCAAAGCAAATATTAAATAATAATTTAAAAATAATCGAAACAACAATAATAAAAACTAATCTTTAATAAATGTTTTTGTTTAGCGAGTAGTTTATAAGATCCGTCGTGGTTATCGTTACCATCGATCAGTTCTTCCCTCTGTGGTAGCTTTCCTGTAAACCCAAAGTCCCGAAACCCTTGTATGCCCTCTTCTTCTTTTGCGGTAAGGGCACTGCTCCTTCTATCTGCTTTTCTATTTCTTGCATTTTTTTTCAGATTTGCTATTCCATAAATCTTGATTTTGATACATTGTTTACTGTCACCCACGTACATAAGTTAATTTGCTTTTGGTTTTTGATCTTCCATGAATTTTATGGATTACACAATTTTCTTGGTTATTGATCATAGTTCTTATATAGATAAGTTTGAGCCCAACACTGTAGAATAGAAAGTAGAAATGAGAGAGACCACTTGCAAATTGAATAGAAGAAAATGAATTATTTTTTTCCAGATCTCTTACGTTTAAAAAACAAATTTGTAATGGACTACAAAACCAAATCTCCCCATAGCTCCAAGGTTCTTTTTCGTTAATTCAATTTTGAATCCGTCTAGAGCTCAATACAAGTGTACTTCTTTAGTCATCTTAGTTTTAAATCTCAACTGATTAATGATTATACCCTTTTTTTTACTTCGTATGTTGTTGTAATTATTAGCACTTAAATCCCAGATGGCTTCCACAATGTTCTCTCTAGCTTCTGTCACTCCTTCAGCTTCAATTTCCTTGCAAGATAATCTCAAGGTAATATGTCATCATTTTTCATTTATGCCATTTCGAAGTTACCCTATCTTACACTGAGGAGGATTCATGTCCTTGTTTCTGTTTGAGCAGCCAAAGCTGAAGCTAGGGACTTCTAG